GTGTTTCCGAAGGACTAATTACGAGGCCTGCATAGACGAGCTCCGGTCTATAGATTGGGATGGACAAGCCTTGGTTCTTAATTGTGATGACTTCGTTCAATACTTTTATAACTCGTTGTATTTAATAATAGAAAGATATACACCGAAGTTGAGAGCTAAGTCAGTAAAGTATCCATGTTGGTTTACGAATAATCTAATTAATTTATTTAAAAGTAAAGAAAAATACCACTTACGTTATAAGCGATACGGAAACCCACGTGATTATGACACTTTCAGTCTGATGAGGGCACGTGCCAAGGAATTAATGAATAGTTGCTTTTCATCATTTGTTGCAAATATAGAGCGGGACTTATGTACCAGTCTTAAGTCTGTTTGGCAATACACAAAAAGTAAACGAGTAACTAATGATATTCCCAATCGTATGTTTTATGAAGATCGCACTGCAAACTCCGGCGATGATATTGTTAACCTTTTTGGAGACTACTTTTCGACCGTGTTCGGGTCTAACAGGGATGTAAACTATGTTCCAGACTTTTCATCGTCCAGTTTCTCCTTAACCAGTATTAGTCTGTCTTCTGATCAAGTACTACTTCATCTAAGGAGAGTCGACGTGGCAAAGGGAGCTGGATCTGATGGCATACCTCCTATCTTTGTGCGCCTTTGTGCATCCGCTCTAGTAAAACCACTAACTATTATCTTTAACAAATCCTTGAATGACGGTGTATTCCCGTCTACTTGGAAGATTGCGAAAATAACTCCTATACACAAATCGGATGATAAGCAAGATGTGACTAACTATCGTCCTATTAGTATTCTTGACTGCTTTGCAAAGATATTTGAGGGCATAGTGTACGAGTACATATATAATCAGGTGGTTCACAGAATTAGTCCCAACCAGCATGGTTTTGTCACTGGCCGTTCTACGCTATCAAACTTACTGGTCTACACATCATTCCTATGTGATTCATTTAACGAGAGAGCTCAGGTTGACACCATATATACGGATTTTTCGAAGGCGTTTGACAGAGTCAATCATTCTATCTTGCTGTTGAAGGCTTATCATTTGGGCATACATGGGAATCTTTATCGGTGGCTAACTTCGTACCTAGCTAACCGAACACAGTTAGTCTCGCTGTATGGCTTTGATTCTAGACCTTTCGTGGCGGTGACTGGGGTTCCTCAGGGATCAAGCTTAGGTCCATTGTTGTTCCTTATTTTTGTTAATGACTTGCTGGAAAGAGTGACAAGTGAGTGTCTTGCTTATGCTGACGATATCAAAATATATCGCAGAATTCAAAGTCAGCGAGATTGTGAACTTCTCCAAGACGACCTCAACTTCATCAGATCATGGTGTAAAACTAATCAAATGTCATTAAACGTTAAAAAGTGTCAGATCATTACCTTCACGAAAAACAAGACAACAATAGACTACGACTATAGTTTGGGCGGAACGAAGCTTGATCGTGTGTGTGTTGTTAGGGACTTGGGGGTATATTTTGACTCCTCCTTATCATTCAGACAACACTACGATTATGTTATCAATAAGGCCAGTAAAATGTTGGGATTCATTTTCCGCACCGCGAAACCATTTAAAAGTAACAAATCATGGATCATGCTGTATACTGCGCTAGTGCGTAGCATACTTGAGTACTGCTCTTCGGTATGGTTTCCCATATACAAAACCCACACTGATAACATTGAGTCTGTTCAGCGTCGGTTTTTAAGAATGCTTTGTAGTAGGCTAGGGTTGAGGCGCAAATTGTCAGGCTACGAGACTCGACTTAACGAGTTTGATTTATTGACTCTGGAGAGACGTAGAATCGTAAGTGATTTGTGTACGTTGCACAAAATAGTTAATGGTAGATTAGGTGACAAATTGCTAGACAGAATCTGTTTAAAGGTGCCAACTCGTTCTGTCCGTCGACCACGGTTATTTGTTACACAAGTTTTGAGTAACAATAACGTTTCTGCAAACAGCCCTATTCATCGAATGTGTACATCTTACAATCAAATCGGAGCTTCTGATATTGACATATTTCACGACAGTCTTCCCGCATTTAAAAATTCAGTTGCCGTTATTGATTATTGAACTCTAAATATTGTTACTAATTTAAGCAATTTGTTCCTAGTTTTTAATTGCATTTTGTTCCTAGTTTTTAATTAATCCTTATTTTTCAATTTTTTCATAATCGCACTACCTGTTATTTTAGAATGTTGTGTACAATTATAACTGGAATGCAGATTCATCATTATTAGACTTATTTTTGTTTTTAAAAAAAATGCCGTTAATCTGTTTTCTGTAATGTGTACCATTGAAATAAAAAAAAAATTAAAAAAAAAAAAAAAAAAAAAAAAAAAACACACTCGATTGTCGTGACGTATTTTTGAAGTTGTTTATTTTATTTAAATGACAGACCCAGGCATTAAAATTTATGGTTTGCTAGAGTAGTTACCGAAATAGCAATTAATATTAGTTCTTTTACCTGTTATCACTTCGATATCCGATAAATCGATATAAAATCATCACCGGCACCTCTAGGTGTGGTATGCGTCTACGGCTGCATGTATCGCGTGAGCGGTTAAGAATCAGTTTTTTAAAAGGACATTTCCTATGTACTACATACCTAATGTAGTACATAGGAAATGAAACTATTTTTCCGGATTTAAATCGCGTATATTTGTTTTTTCAAACAAACCGACACTACTTTCGGGCCCTTTACAGGTCCCATGGTCACGGTTGACTGTAGGTAGTCACCTAAGAACTCGATAGGTATGTAGTATTTTAATATAGTGACAAAAATGTTTACTTTAATGTAAACAAAACGTGAGCTGCTGCTTACACAAAAATGCGATTTGCAGGCCATGTCTAATTAACAAAGAAAGGATTTGCACTGCTGAATTAATAACGTAAAGTTGGTAAAAATTTATTTGCTTTTATTTTTTTGTTACATATTTTTAACATGAAGTTTGTTTAAATTGCAAGCAACAAATCTACTCTGGTTATCAATTTCCTTGTAAAGTCAATCACATATTACGTATAGTCGGAGGTGAACATCGTAATTTGTAGTTCATACGTAATTTTGCAATGTAAGTTAGCAATTTCAATACAGGCAGTACATACTACGCAACAACGAGAATATTTATTTTTTGTGTTTTTGGCTAGTTTAGTAACCAACGGTTTCAGTTTGTTTATATCATTTCTCGAGCTAACAGAATACGACACGAGGGTAGTACACCATGGTATGCGGATAATATGTTATTTAATGGACTTAAATAATTTCAACTCATGCATGCCACATACTTCCAATATGTAGATATTATATTTATATGCCTTAGTGAAATGGTTCTAATGATTTGAAATCGTGATATATACCTCCACTTTTTTCTTTTTTTTAACAAAATTCAGTCGGAGCTGATAATCTCGACGACATTTCGAAATATTATTAATTCTACTCAAGTTCTTTATCCTCGTCGCCATTTGTGGCGTTTACGCTACTTAGTATAGGGATAGCTCAATGAAACAACATGTGTTTACTTCACGTACACGTGCGATACGTCCGCTCACACCATTGTCTAGTGTCGTTGTGCGGGAACGGCGGGCCGCAGTGTAACTTATATTGTCTAATGTCTATGGCACAGTTATGTGCATACACTACAGTACTTTACCAATCAACACTGTTCTAAGTTTTACCAATCAATCCGTTTACGTTCCATTTCTGGGCTGTAGCTGTAGTTACCAGAACATCACAAGGCGACCGCAGTGTGTGATTTCTAAAAAAAAAACCACAATTTGATTACAACTAAAAATATTGTAGGCAGGCAGGGTGGAGGCGGCTAGTGCAGTGAGGATTCCATCGCTGCACTAGGTTCCTTCGCGTTTGGATACCACTTTCCACTTAACATCAGGTGGAGTGGAGTCATTTGCCTGTCAGGTATAAAAAAAAAAAAAAAAAAAACAACTAATTGCATAATCATGGTAGTACTTGTCCAAAGATAGACTTACTACACTATGTAAAGTTTAGTATTTTTATAATGACCAATGGTCGGAAAAAGGTGTTCTCCATATCGTCTGTTTAAAGGTAAAACCACATAAGTCTTTAAATAGCTATGGTAGGAAAATCACTATCTTTCTGCAGGTGAAACTCAATAACAAGAAAGCTATAAACTCAATAAGTGGTTTTATTTGCAGAAAGATGATGATTTTCTTACAGCAGGTACATAAATTGGAGATTTTTTGTGGATTGTGGAATGTCACTTATGTGGTTTTACCTTTAAGCAGACGATATGTAGATACATGTATAGACATGGGTACAAGGAGCAACATAGAGTTGTTAAAACCACCAAATATTAATGAATTGCTTTTTCGGTTTTCGGATTTGCGGAAATGGTTTTATAGGATCGTAGGACAAACTACTGACCTAGGAAGTTGAAGTCGGATTTAAAGTATTTCTAGTAGTGCCATGTAAAAATTACATTACTATAATTGCAGTAATAACTGACAGCCTTGGTGCCGTTCCGTCAATATACAGGTCACGGTGCGGTGTCTAAAGCTAGAGAGGGGCGGAGAGAGACCAGAGTTGTCGTTACTTTTTTATTCTCTGTTTCAAAAGGTCAGTTATCTACTGCATTTTTTTACATGGCACCCTTAGAATTACTTCAAAATCCTAGGTCAGTAGCTTTTAGTCAGCATTTTAATCAGTGTTTTATATCATGGTAATAACAGACATGTGCTCAACAATCATTTACTAGACTCCGCCCTACGAATAATGTCGAATAGGCGTGAGTTTAAGTTCCATAGAATGTAACCGAGCATATCCGAATTCTTTTTTTCATCCTATCGATGGTATACACTTGCTAACGTGATGAATGGATTGATCAATCGGTGTAAAGTACTCGCCGATTCTTGCCCAGAACCAGGAACAATATCCGTCAATGTGTAGCTTGATGTGGTGTCTGTATCTAAAGTATTTTTTCTTAATTATTTACGTGATTACTTTCAGGGCGCATGTGAAATCATATTACGCGAAATCGAAATCACAAGCTTGCCCAAAGAAGACCGACTGTGACCAGAATGACCTTAAGGTATTTCTTTTATATAAAATAAGTACATTTTAATTAAAGTTAAGTAAGAAACTAAAACATTAACCGAAAATTTCCCCAAAACTTATAATTTATTTGTGATATCAAGTGACGGGACCAATTAGTCGCGCGCCTTGAGGTAAGGACTTTTAATTGCAAGGATCTGAAGGGCACTGCCACTGCGCCCGTTATTCTGAAACATAAAGTTGACAAGTGTTATGTGCTTGTAATTTTATTGCACCCTTACCATTTAAAGCCAGAACGCATTATATTGCTTGGCGGCAGAAATAGAATGGTGGCTGTACTACCCTGGACGTGGAGTTCTACTGCTGCTTTTTAGCAGCAGTACACGGAACTCCTTAGTTTGAGACCAGGCAATTGATATCATTAACTGGGTCACTATTACATTGTTATTAAAAATAATATTATTATTATATTTACTTTTAATAACAATGTAATAGTGTGCCAGAAATTGATATGAATTACCTGGTCTCATACTAAGGAATTCCGTGTAGGCTATGAGTACCATATAAACGAAACAATTTAGAATAGATTATATCCTATATTGGTTCTGTCGTGCAAAGAACTCGGAACCTCAACATCCAGCACCCATAATGAAAACCGTTGGGCAACCGAGGTCGTTAATGAAATAGGCAGTTATCTTTAAGAGAGATTTCTTCCAAGAAATCCAAATAATATTAGTTATAGCAGGTAATCCATATTCAAGTACCTGTTAAGTGAAGATAAGTAATAAATATGATATGCTTCACGTTAATACCGACTAGTAAAATACATCCACGAGGATATTTCGTATATTCGAGCGGTAGGAGAATAATCCTCGGAAAGATGGATGATCCCTGTGACGGCAAGTACTTAGGACTTTAATTTCTAAGTCACGCAACGATGGAATTGTCATAACGAAAACAGATGTCAAAAGTCAATCTTAACAGAAACGGAAGCAGACGCGGAAGTAGAAGTGTAAATACTATAAAGATCCCAACGAAATAGTTTCAAGCCGGGCTTGTTTTTGGTTACATAATTGCAGTTAACACAAAACCGCTATAAAACTTTCATCTCACTGCCAAACAAAATCGCCGGCTTCATCCGTCGCGAATATTGTAAACTTCCGATTCAAGTTCCGTTGTAAAAATGGCGGAAGCAGATGTGGAAAAGCTTCCGCAGTTGCGAAAGCAGAAGCAGACGGTCGTTGTATCACTAACGTACTGTTAGCATTATAGTCGTCAGTTGTGTACTAGCTTATTGTAATGATAATCATTTATTTCAAATCACAATGGCACTGATCTTACGATAGGTTAGTATAGGTTTACTTACAATGTGTTAGGCGATTGTGAAAGAGCGGAACCTGTACCAATAGAGCTCTTTGTGAAAGAGTGTATCCAGGGAAGTACTGCCACCTTATCTGTTTCTGCCGCCAAGCAGTAATGTCAGCATTACTGTATTCCGGTTTTGAAAGGTGCTGGTGAAATTACAAGCACATGGGACTTATCAAGTTATGTCTCAGGGTGACGGGCGCAGTGGCAGTGCCCCTCAGATCTTTGCGACTTAAAGTTCTGGGTGGCACTGCAACTGGTATGGATAGGCGTGTGGCTTACCATCAGGCGCACGACTTGTTCGTCCCGTCACTTGACGTTGTAAAAAAACCAGAGTTGCATGTGTTTACTGTTTACTCCAACCTTTTTTTTTAATATAAATATTATTATTATTCTTACATATACATATACTTAGGTGCATATTGTTCTGCGTTGTAATTGTAGTTGTTTATGTGCATTTTAAAATATTTCATAGTCCTTAGATAATATTGTCTTACTAAACAAAACATTATATTTTTACAGGAATTTAAGGGTAAATTTAATGCGAAAACGCAACGATGTTGCTTCAAGGTACGTACTAATAATAAAATTGCTTTTTTAATAATAAACCACTTTATTTGACATATACTACAATCGCTTAAATAAGATAAAAACAAATAATAATCAACGAGCGCAATATACAACAATAATTACAAACTACCTACGCTAAACGTTTTTCTTTTTGTCGTATCGCTGGCAAACATTATAATGCTAGCCATCGTGGTGAAAGGATTTGCCAATCGATGTAAGATACTCACCGATTGTTGCCAGATGCACAGGAAAGGAATGGTATATGTTGTGCGGAGAGGCTGTTTTCGTACACCTCCGCAAAACGTTGAGTATGAGTAAATAAGTAAAAGATTTTTTGTGATATTTATTTCAGAAAATTCAGAAATATATTGAAAAAGAAACGTGCTGCCCTGGTTACGAATGGAAAAATGAAGAAAAACTTTGCGCTCCCATATGCACGAAAGGTTGCGTAGGCGGAAGGTGCACAGCACCTGACCAATGCGACTGTGACCGCCCTCTTATATTGAAAAACTTCAAGTGTATCACTCCAAAATGTGAACCTTCTTGCACCAATGGCCAATGCATTGACGACGATAAATGCGAATGTAATCCGGGGTATCGTAGTGTAAATTCGACTTTCTGCGTTAAACAATGCGATCTCGGGTATGATAATGATCCAACAACCTTAATCTGCAACCCAATATGTGACAACAGATGTGTGAATGGAACCTGTGTTGCACCAAATACTTGCGATTGTTTAGGTGGATATAAAAAAATTGATCAATACAATTGTGCTCCAATTTGTTCACCGTCTTGTAAAAATGGTCAATGTACAGCGCCAAATGAATGTTCATGCTTTGAAGGCTATAAACGGGAGAATATTACCAGTTGTGCTCCAATTTGTACATCGTGTGATCATGGAGATTGTATAGCCCCGAACACATGTGTTTGTCACGACGGGTATTCTAAAGTCAATGGCACATGCACGGCTGTTTGTAATCAACCCTGTACTAACGGAGTTTGTATAGAGCCTAATATTTGTAGTTGCAATAGAGGCTACATAAAAGACACAGAAAATCCGTTCAATTGTATTCCGAGTTGTGAACCAAAGTGCGTTAACGCCACTTGTATCTTTCCTAACAAGTGTTCGTGTCTAAATGGATACGAAACGACAGATAACAACTACAGTTGCAAACCCAAATGCGTTGGTTGCATTAACGGTGACTGTGTAGCACCAAATAAGTGCCGTTGCCATACTGGATACATCTTGATTGATGGGAATTGTAAACCTTATTGCGAAAAGAATTGTACTCATGGAACTTGCACGGCACCAAACACTTGTACTTGTAAAAATGGATATAAGCAAGATGATAGCGATAACTATACTTGCTTAGCGATCTGCGACAAACCATGTGTCAATTCTACATGTGATTCCCCAAATCATTGTAGCTGTCTTGACGGTTATAAAAAGACTGAAGTTGAATCAGTGTGTGAACCAATTTGTTTATCTTGTATAAACGGGGATTGTATAGCACCTGAGAAATGTAGATGTTTCGATGGCTACGATTCGGCTGGGATGGATGGAAAATGTTCCCCAGTCTGTACTAAACCGTGTATTAATGGTCAATGTACATCTCCAAACACATGTTCTTGTACCAAAGGCTATGAAAATGACAAGGATGACCCTTCTATCTGTTATATATCCTGTTCTGGGCCTTGCAAGAACGGAAAGTGCACTTTAGAAGGGAAGTGTGTTTGCAATCCCGACTACAAACTCGAGAATGGGACATGTATTTATAGACCGTAAGTACATTTTATATGACTATAGCATATTTTATGGTAATTTTGAAAATGACAATCATAATTCCAAGTCAAGATTACATTTTATAGCAAACCACTGGTGAAAGTAGACTTAGACGTCTTATTTTTATTTCTATGTCGGTCTACGAAACATTGTCGGTTATATTGTTTAGCCAAGTATGAAGAATTTACATTACACATTTACGTTCACACGATATATTATTTACATTTTTTTCATTTTTCAGATTACTCTGTTCCTCTTGTAAGCATAGTTGTGTACATGATGACTGTCATTGCGACAATGGTACACGATGCATAGTCGAGGCTCACACTGAAGTCGCCTCCTCGACGACTACAGCCGGGTAAGTTTACAAGTCATGTTTTCACGATGACATGTCCTGGCCTATATATCTGAAATGATTTTAAAAGGGCCTGTATCCGTCACAAAGTTACCTGTTTTAATATTATCCTTAACAATAAATAACGATATGTCATTATTATTATAGAAGCTTTCACAGAACACCTAAGAGACTTGACATTGTCAAAATGCTCTGATATCACAGCACCACGACTAGTCTAGTCTAGCTAAGTCTGTGATACTTTTGCCCGTTTTATTGTTGATTGCATGTACATAAGTACCGTTGGCATCCTCAAGATGTACCTTAGCAATTTCTACGAACCTATCTACTGTAACTGCTGGCAAAAGCTCTATAATTCCATTATAGTCTGCGGCTGTACTTATACTTGGTGCTTACCTTAACTTATTTTAAGGCTTTTTAGAATAATATTATTATTGTTCCTAAAAAGTGAAATGAGAGTTTGTAACTTTATTACAGGTTGGCTGGTCTAGAAGTTACTTGGATATCAGCTGCGGCTACAGTTCTTCTATTGCTGGTGCTCCTTGCGGTTGTCATGCAGCGAATTTACAATCGACGGAGGAAATTTGAGAACAGTAAAATTGAGGAAGGTAAGTGAAATGAAAATTAAAAAGCTGAGACTAAAATGATTTGGTTTTAAATTCGAGACTTAATCGTGTATAAAAACATATTTATTTACCTCGACGTTTCGGATGTATTGCAACGTCTATGTTTTTAGACACGGTTAAGTCCCGAATTTAAAATCAAACAATGTGTGAAAATCGTGAAAGTTTAAATCAGCGGGAAACAAATGTTACATTAAGTCTCATACCAATAAATGAATGAAATTTGTAGATATTTTTACACAAATATCAGTCAATAGTACCTTAGACTATTTCTTCTGATTTAATTCTACTTTATGACATAAACAAGTAAAGTTTTGATCGATGACCACTAGAAGATTTAAAGGTAAACCTGGGTCAACGAGGCATCTTTAGATACTTTTTGAATCAATATCCATCCAGAGTTGGGCGTAGATGTCTTCCAGTGCGCGCCATCCCTTTCATTCTAGTGCTTTCCTGATCCAACTTCTTCTGGCCATTATGACAAGGTCGTCATTATAGCGCATTGGTTGGCTGCTTACGCTTCTGTA